CCGTCATTTGTTCATTATAGCCGCCTAATAATAGGTTTATCCTATATTTATCCTTGTTGCAGCCGACTTTGTCAGCATACTAACCGTGTCACGTTTTCAGCAATTGTTTAAAAGATAGGGGGATTGGATAACCTCTAACCTTGTACATGACTTTAGTTTTTTAAAGGCTAATAAAGTTGAACCTGACGGAAACGTTATCAGTCAGTTGTTGATTTCACAGTTGCCAACAATAGTTTTTTCTCGGTGGAGAATTGTGCTAAGTAGCTGTCAATAGCAACGAAAGTCTCCTTAAAATAGCTGTTTTACTACCTATTGTAATGCTTTATTTATAACTCTTGCTACATTACCTTAATTAATTACTTCTATGCTGCTGTCTCACCATTACAGCATTCACAGCTGCATAGTTTCATTCGCATTTCACCTCAGAACAATAACTATGAAGCATGAAAGTAACACTCTGAAGTTTGAGCGTACACTCCCATAGAGACAATAGATTAACGTAAAGATTTCCAAACAAAGTATTACCCTACCGAAAAGTATTAGTGGCGTGTTGACAGGTTGCAATTAACATTACACCGCTTTTTAGTTCGGTATCGTAAAGGTAGCCAAGGTATCTCCAAGCCATACAAATCATCCAATTTGACCTTTGTGTAGTGGTACGCACGCTGTTCATAGCAACATATAAGTATATAAGTATTTGTCCCTTTCTTGGTCTATATGTAAAAATAAGATAACTATATGAGTCTAGTCTAGTAGATTTTATCATCCTTATTAATAAACGCAGAAGAACTTGGATTAGTTAATCCATGTCTCTGTTTGTTGAATGACAAATGGCATTTGAGTGACATGAATAGAACACAGCGTAACTGACCTTAGCTTATTCGTTGTTTATTATTAATAAGGGGGTTCGAAGTGAATTTTAACTCTTTCTATAATTTAGTTCTTGTCCGAGCTTTTCACATACCAAACAGTACGTCTCGGGCCTGAAGATTAATCCTTCAATTTATTTGAAGAACTCCGCGTGTCCAAACAACTTAGTACGATCCAATAAAACGTTATTTGTGTGTGAGCTGTTGTGAGCAGTATGTATCACTACACAGCAATTGGTCTTAATAGGAGCGGAGTTAAATATCAATCTTCACGAGATTGGAGTGAGTGCAGGCGTCTACAATCATGGTTAGCAGGGGTCCAATTCTTGATACACGAAAGGAGATTCGTTTGTAATTTATAGGAGTTTTTTTGTCATCCTTAAATACAGGAAAGTTTTCGTGCTGATAGTAAAATCATCAAGAATTTCAGAGCGAATTACATCTAAAGATTCAGTTTCATCAGATTTTCCAAAATAACAGATCAGACGGCTGGGAAACTGTTATTATAATTTTCTTAATTTTCGTTTGTGAATTTTTATATCTTATGGATTTTTTACTGTAACATGATAGCCCCTGCCCTAGTTAGACACGAACTACCACCCTTCACTTTCTTATAAATGTACAACCATTATGCTATCGATACCGTAACGGAGTTGTCTAATCTCTTCCATTATTCTCATGCAGCATGGCTTAAACAAATTATTGTCGTTTTTCGATAAAAATCAAAACATAATAGGTACCTGACGGACGGGTTAGACATGATGACGTAATGGGTAATTTGATAGAATTGCTCTTTGCCCCCCGTGTGCACAAGACTAGATCGTTTAAAGATTGAATTTTGTCAGGTTTGTCGCATTGTTATTCAATGCTTTCCGTCAATTCATAGCATATTACGATATGCCGCAAAAACGAAGTGCTTATATTCAAAATAGGTATACTATAACATCATGTGACAAAATCTCATAGGCTCTATTAAAACATCATTATGAGGTGTCGCACTATGTCCAGCCAGTTACATGGCACCAGTCAAATTATTACCATAAGTTTATCATGAGTGATTTATAATAGTACAAAAACAAACGTAATGGTGTCATCTCATCATCTTCAGCCTATTAATGTCCCCACTGCTGGGGCACAGGCCTTCCCTATGGATGGAATAGGGAGGTTGGGCCATGACCCACCACGCGGGCCCAGTGCGGATTGGCGGGTGCTAACGACTGCAGATGCAGCCGGGACCAACGGCTTAACGTGCCTTCCGAAGCACGGAGGAACTCGAGATAGTAAATTTTTGGTCACCCATCCAATGACCGACCACTGCGAAAGTTGCTAAACTTCAACGATCGCAGCCGAACGCGCTAACCACTTGCGCCATCGAGCTCCTCATTAAGTTAAAAAGTATTTGTTAACTTATTTCGAAATGAAAAATGATTGTAGCGGTTTTTTTGCTATAAGTTCAAATCTGTTTTCTAGAGCGATAGGCAGACGATAGAATTGATCTCCACTGGACACACTCTTCTCTATAGTCCTGTTATACCACTTTCTTTCACATTCATTTTCGTCTCTTTCTCTAGTACATAATGCGTGCTCTCAAGGTTCTGCGCAGATGACCTCTACCGATGCTGTCAGATAGAATCGCACTAAACATTACATCGAGTCTTCTTTCATCCATTCTCTCAAGAGATAAGGATCTTTTCCCATTTTTTGAACCTTGTCAATTTGAAGTTGAGATTGTACACGGTTTTATCAACAATCGGTTTGATGTAAAATAATAATACTAACATTGAGTTAGCTACTCTCCTACTAGGCAATAATACCGTTTTATCTCTCAGTTCCGTTTGTAATGCAAGTTTATATTTATTCTTCATAGGAAAAAAGTCTTATTTGTACAGGCAGTGTTCGGCTGCCAAACCAAACATAACATTCCTAATAGTTCGTTGACAACACATCCGCGTCCAATGAGCGGGTGCATTGGCAAACGCGGTATGTGAATCAACTCCCGCGCATCAATATTGTACCAATTTAATTTTGCCGCAGAAGGCCGACACGACAGTTGCATACATCTTGCATTTTGATCAAAGGCAAATCTCACAAAGAGTATTAACATAACATACATAGTTTTACGCCGTAGGTCATCTTTTGTAGTTATTAAGTATATCGTTTATAGCACCATTAAAACGTGAGAACACAATAACATCTCATTCCCACAAATATACTTTAACATTGGCATTGAAGGAGCCTAAATTGCTGTTCAAAATCATTTATTCAGTATATTGTTGTTACAAGCATCCATGAATGTCTAGACTAGAAGCTACGCCATGGGTTCGTAAATCTACGGCCGGAGACCTTATACTGAGAAGAACCAACAAGAATCTCAGCATAGGCTACTTTTTCTCTCTGTATTATTACATACAGAGTTTTCAAGTTGAAAAATGACTTTAGATATGATACACGAAGTCACCTTTCAATACATAATATGAAATATACATTAATTGTTCGCCTGCAATTTGATTGCTGTGTCATACAATATAAATAATGTTATTTATTTATTGTCTATAAATAGATAACATATTCAATGACAAAGTTGTATAGAGCAGTCTCATCTCCACATACAACTGTCATCATCATGACAGTGGCAAACGGCAACTGTTGCTGAGCTTTGACGCTCATGGAAAAGTAAGTACAGAATACGGAATACATACACCAGTTGCTTGCTCTTCAGCTGCCAGACAGAACCCAAAACACTATCAAATATTTGTGCTCATTCGAAGTCATAGCATGAGTTGCACCAACTTACTTTAGTGGCGACGACATCTACATGCCCCACATATAACCTGATGGAAGAAATAATCACTCGCCATCTTCAAGAGATAGCGCTACCGGCGCGGCGCTGCGATCAATAAGTATGTAAGCTTACATCGCGCAAGATAAGTTGGGAGGCAAAATACTTAATATATATACAATGCCCGACCAACATCAGTCGGGCCGCGGCCCCCGAGCTACAATCACCCAGCTTGGAGGAAGATCTTCCCCTCTGGCCTTCCAACAGTTTAATTGATTAAAGTACCGAGAAGGTAAAAAAATTGGCAATAGTCTAATTGAGGTCATAATTTGACGGTAACAATTTACTGTCCAAGCGAGCGAGGCCAGTTAATGTTATAGTAAAATTTAACTAGGTCTGTGGTGCAACTCACACGTCTTTAGAGCAGGATAACAGAATTGTCACGTTACCGTTTATTTGTAGCAATCACTTCATATAAACGAAAAGTAGATAAATTTTAAATTTAGACTTAATATTAATCATGTTTCCAATGTAAGCCAATCTTGTCTGACCTTAATGACATATGAGACGGAGTTCTTAATTTAACATTACCTTATTGTGCACAATTCTTATCTTCCAAATTAACCCAATGATATGTAGTAGTATTGATCACTCTTTTACCTCTTGCCCTGATAATCAAACTTGACTAGGTTTTTCGGGTTGAGTATTATAGGAGCCCTATTACTGATGGCTTTGCTTACTTTGTCAGCATGTCATCTCATGAACTGAACCGTGTCAGTATAAAGGTAGATGAAATTTTTTACCCTAGATAACTAAACATTCGTTCACGCGACTACGCCCCTGATCAAGAAAGTCAAGTGCACTTACTTCTCCGCACCCCGTTCCCGTCATGCTTTGTTTACCTTCCTGTTTGGTGCGAATAATTCAGCGGGTGACGCGGTTGCGATCACACGATAATTTGGAAGTGACCTACGGCTACATCGTCGTCAGGTTGACGAAAGTTTAGTTACTACGTACGTTAATTTGTAAAGGTATGTACAATTTTTTTTTATATTATTTACTATTTATACAAGGCTACCACAAACTTTTTTATTTTATTTTATTTAAATTGATATATTTTACTATTTAATTATATATGGAGTTATTTATAGCGAAATTAAATATAAAAAATACATTTTATGAGATATTTCTTAGTTGCGACTAAATATTTATTATTTTTTTGCACTTTTATTATTTTTAGATTAATTTGAGAAATCAAGAAGAGCAGGTAAGTAAGTGACTAGAAGAAGTGGAAGGTGAAGAGGAGGGTTCTAATGATTTGACCTCAGAGACGGAGGATAATGTGGAGGAAGAAATACATATCAACACCTCTGATTCAATGACATCATACGATCAAGTAAGAGACAGAGAACTGAAATTGTAGACTCTTGATGACTTTAGAGGATATTCATGAAACTAATTCCCCTCAAACTTCAAACCAAGGCAACCAGCGTGTTCTTCAAGTAACTCCAAGATTCCTTTATGGGAAAAACAAACATAAATGGTCGTCTGTACCTAGATCAGTTACTATTCGTACTCTGAGAGGGAACATCGTACATTTTATACCAGGTCCAAGAGGAGAAGCTAGGGAATTACAGAAACCAATAGATTTACGGCGCGATTTTGTCATAAAAATGGGAGACCAACTTATGGACCCTTGGCTAAGGGAACGATTACAAACGGTGACTTTGAGGCATGATATCAAGGTTATGTTAAAAGATATTCTTGGTGAGTCATCAGAACCTGAATACCCTGTTTATTCTGTGACCAATGTGCGTAAAATATGTTACTTATGTCCATCAAAGGCTCGTAGGATGACAAAACATCGATCCATTAAATGCAAAATGCCATTTTTGGATCGCACAATATTGACGTGTATAGTAGCTGTGCAAAATAATTATTTATTGTTAAATGTCTTTCACATCAGTTAGCAACTGTGCGTGGATTTTTTTCTAGTAATCTTTTCTTTAGATTTAAACATCTAGCAGTTAAATGCTTAAAAAAATAAATAAAATCATAACTATAATTGCTATTTCTTCTTTCAGATGTTTAATACTTGAAAAAGTATTCATTTGACATTGTGGGTTGCCTACAATGCGAAGAGATGGCGCTGCCTTGCAGCTTAAGGCTAGGAAAATTTCGACGCGGCTAATAGGGCCGTGGTAGCATAATGGTCAGTGCATTCGCCCGGATAGCGAAGGATGCGGGTTCGAGTCCCGTCCGCTGCCTGGTGCGCGTGGATTTTTTTCTAGTAAACTTTTCTTTAGATTGAAACATCTAGCAGTTAAATGCTTAAAAAATAAATAAAATCATAACTATAATTGCTATTTCTTCTTTCAGATGTTTAATACTTGAAAAAGTATTCATTTGACATTGTGGGTTGCCTACAATGCGAAGAGATGGCGCTGCCTTGCAGCTTAAGGCTAGGAAAATTTCGACGCGGCTAATAGGGCCGTGGTAGCATAATGGTCAGTGCATTCGCCCGGATAGCGAAGGATGTGGGTTCGAGTCCCGTCCGCTGCCTGGTCCGCGTGGATTTTTTTCTAGTAAACTTTTCTTTAGATTTAAACATCTAGCAGTTAAATGCTTAAAAAATAAATAAAATCATAACTAGAATGGTAGAGTTTATTCATTTTGGTCAGTGGTAATTTCCATTTCTTTGCTGTATTTTTTGTCCACCTCCTGTATTTTCGTCTTAAATATAGCAACATTTAAAAGGGCGTGGTTTCTAGATTTTGTACTCCTCGCGCTTGTCTATATTGGATAGATGACTCATAAGTCTTACTATGGAATTGTCTGTCTGTAAGGCCAAAGCCTGCGCCTTAAAAGCCTGACAATGACAATCTAAAAGAAAGGCTTGTCGTGTCGCCGAGTAATTCTGCAATATTCATTTAATAATATAAATATTCTTTCCATACAAACGCTCTCGGCTGATTTCTCCTTGATTTTATCCCAATAGAAATGGTTTCCATACATAAAATATAATTTCACTCATTATATGCTCCTGTCTTCCCTTTTTCGATAACTTGTTATTCAAAGAAACTAGAAGCCCTCAAAAATACCAAAACTAAACTATTTTTTATCACCAGTAAAGACGTGTGGAGTGTGGAGATTTAATAAGCATTAAAAAAAAATCGAAAGTAGAGGCCTAATATAACTACTTATTATTCTAAGGGTAAAATTCCTTGTAGATATAATCTTATTTTCAATGAGGAAAACGTCGAGAGCAAAACCTCGAATTTATCAATGTTTATACGCAATTTTCAGCGTTAGCTACTTTTTTCCGTATCGCACGGTATTCGCCAATGCACGAGAGCAATAGTTTTTTCAAATACCTATTACTCAAATGTGTTTCAGCTCGCGTCCGCTCTTAACGCGCTCATTAAAATAGTCAGCATCCCAGTTCTACTAGCGGTCGTGTTTATTTGGAAAACCTAGGTGTTCTATGTTGTTATGATCTGTGTTTTACTCTTGTATGTAGTACTTCTCCAAAGCCAACACTACTGACTGTCTGACTAACTTACAAAACTAAGAGCAACAAACGCCATTAAAAGGACTGTTGTTCTACTATTGTAAGATTGGTGACCTTCCAAACTGGCGCTCCAATTTTAGCTGAAAACCGCTAGGTGTCGGAACTCTCTGTACCTCTGTACAATCACAGTAGGTGTCTGAAACTGACAAAATTAACTTTAAGGCTCCATCTTTCTTGTAATAACATTCATAATTTGTTTGAGAGAATTTCTAACTTGTTGCTGACTTCACTAGGGACTGGGGAATGCATCCCGCAAGATGATTACAACCCAGGTATTTGCGGGATTGACCATCTTAATTCATCTTAAATCGTAATATTTAAAGATCTGATAGACATCGTTTTTCATGGACTTAATTGCTTTTTCTTAATTGCGACACAAATTAAACGGTATTTTTGAAAAATTCGTACCGTACGTCATACGGCTTTGTAACTGCCTATCTATCTATCAATACCTATGCGTTTCAGAGACGAGCCTGACCGAAGAGAGTTCTGGGCAAAACAAATTCCGTTTTCACACATTTAAAACAATCGCGCTCATGTTTTTTAGTGAAAGAGGGACCCCTGGATTACTTTATGATTCAATCAGTTTATCTACATATTAAAAAATACCTTAAATTAGCACACTGATTTTTCGTCCTCATACGCCGCGCATAAGAAACACGCTTCTCTGTGATCCCGCTTGTTCAGAGATGGATCCCGGAAATTTTTAAACTGAAATTAATCTTGCAATACGTATGCGGGATCTCAGTATTGCATTCCCTACTAGAGACTAATTGACATTGCCTACTCTTCTTACATACATATATTTTGCCTTCCTTGTCTTCAAAGGTTAAAAAAAGAAATAAAAGGAAAATAGAAATTGCGAAGCGGATCCTTGTGAGGTTTTCCGGTTGCCCAGCCTGCGATGTTTAAAGCTTGTTACAAATACTAAATTTAACTAAAACAGCCGAAGCATTCGTAACTTGACAACGACCTCATTGTTACATACCTATTTACAGATTGAATACATGGCCTCTAACGTTCGAGTCATGAATGTACTTATCAGGGATAACGCGTTTCTTGTGTGTTGGTACTAATATTATAAATGTGAAAGTTTGTATGTTTGAATGGTTGTTGGTGTTACGCAATCACGCAAAAACACTAAACGGAATTTCGTGGCACGCATATAGTTTATGATTTGGATTGAGACATAGGACACTTTTTATCCCAAAAAAATATCAGTTTCCTGAGGGATTCTCGCAAAACTAAAGTTAACGCAGACGAAGTCGGGGGCAGCCGCTAGTGGTATAATATATCGATGTCCAAAACGTACTCTGCCCCTCTAGCATGAGCACCGCGATATGATTTAAAGCACGTCTTTAGCACGCTCACTTGTCGAATTACTATGAAGATTACCAGTCAGATGCGATAAAAAACGTGATATAATGCAAATTGTGGAGCTCATGCTACGGAGGCCGAGGGGCGGTAACATATGTAAGAACAAACTGGCTCCTTCCATACAAAATTTGACGATGACAATATGATTATAGAGCTGTCAAAATTCGTGCTTCGGCCTCTCATTTCACGTATAAAAGCACCTACAAATCCAAAAGACATGTTGCATAGAACGAAAGCTTACTCAAAATTGGCCAAAGCTGACTTATCAATATCCCATTGTTATTATCTAATCGCTAGTTTGATTCCAGCTGCCAACCAAATATTTATAATAACACTTTATTTATGTTATAACGGAGATAAAGCCTAAAAAAGTACCTTACATCTCAGATTACAGAACAAAAGGTTTTGGTTACCTTCCTATAGGTCTCCTTCTGTGACGAGGTCATCTCACGGAAGGAGGCGGCGGAGAGAGTTCGCGAGGAACAAGCCCACGCGAACTCTGTTCGACGCAGGAGGGGGAAGGGGAGGACTGGTCGGTGGCGCCGAGTCCGCCTGCTAGTCCTCTAGCGGTACCTTCTATGACTGCCAAGGAGGGGGTGCTCTGCGGCACGAACCAGGGTGGAACCCAGGCGTAACAAGCGGCTACTCATAACTCGGGGTTGGTTACCTTCCTATATAATAATAATTCTGAGCCGTACATTACATTAGTAAAGTTATTACGTTAACATAAAATTTTATGGATGTATCTCAGTGTGGCTGATGTTATTATCAACAAATGTGAAATATTATCGTAATATGCCGAGCGGATGCTTAAATCTCTGCCACTTATCTGTGCTCAGGAACGGTGATTGATTCCCTATTCATTTTTGACAATGTTTATCTTTATAATATAAAAGCTTGTTGAAAAGCGTATAGTTATTCATTTTCGGGAGAACAGAAAGAAATACTCTATTTACACTAATGTTTATAACCAATTAGAGTTACGAATTTACATTCCAAAAACATCCTGAAACAATTTCGGAAAATAGTGATTTTGGAATAATTCTTCAGCTTAGCCATGAACGATGTTAGTTCCTTGCACTTGAGACATCGGAAAAACAGTTCTGATATCTTAGTGTATACTTGTTTTCTTCACTGTCCACGTGCCTCTATGAGTTGAACAGGTTATTTTTTAAATAATAACGAGCATCGTTCATTACATCTTCTGCTGCAGCACCACAGAATACAGAAAGAGTTTAGAAGGGCCTTGTGGGCGGAGCAGGCGCGCCACAGTTATGTGTGAGCAAATGCTCATAATTTGACCAAAACTTGGTTTTGATTGCGTCGTTGCTGTCTTCTATGAGCTCGGATTGTTTTTTTTTTTAATTATTATTTCTTGAAATCTACTGACTCTTGGTCCGTGTGTCCGTTGTGTTACATTCAATTATTTTACATGTTTTATACAATGTGTATTTCCACGTTCACGTACTCGTGCGCGAGTAGGTGCGCTGATTGGTTAAATTTTTTGATGTCGCTTCGTCTTATTGGCTATTATCTATTAAGTGGAAGTGTGGGGGCAAGCCGGCGACATCGGTTTCTGTACAAACATAGATCATGGTTGATCAAAGACCATGATCAACCTTCTAACCTATTTCTGTGTTTAGTGTGCAGCACTTTACAAGGCTATTTCTATTGTACGTAAAATTGACAGGCAGTCTCTCCTTTTCGTTCTATAAAGAGCTAGATAGGGTTACTGCTATCAAACTTACAAATTACTATCTCATAACCATGTGAACTTGTGAAGTGCAAGCATCAGGTGGATCAACCCTAAAGGTTACGAGATGAAGTTACAAATCCGTCTGTCTGTCAGCTACCTAAGTAACAACTCACAAAATGTAGGTAATACGTCGACCTGCCCCTATTGAAGTTATAACTGAATTGTGTATCTTTCGTCGCTATAACAACAAATGACTTTGAAAAAAAAAACTTAAGAATTATCCATTTAGTGTCATTAGTAGTACCAGCTCTTCGTTTTCATGTTTATTTAGACAATTTTTTATATTTACTTTTAGACTAAGTTTGTAATTCTTGGAACTCGACCAAAATCTTATATCTTAT